AGAATTTTTATATTTTAAGCCACTATTTGATGTACAATTTCAGTACAACATACTATCTTTTTTTAATAGGATGCTACACGGACATTTGTTTTCTCTGTCTTACAAGTGCATAGCTTACCAAATTTATGCAAAGTAGATTACTTGCTTTGTTAGTTTGAAATGTAGAGTGAATAGACCTATCATGAAACTTGATGGTAAGAACATTATCTTTGTTTGTATAAGGTATTTTTACAATAATTTTGTTTTTAAGTGATTTAGCATTTTTAATTTATGCTATATATGAATGAAAAACTTGCTAAAAAAATGAACTATTGAAATAATTCACCAAGGAACACAGATAATGCCCTTACCATCAAGTATTACAATAGGCCAATTCACTCTAATTTTTAAACTAATGAAGCTAAATGTGATCTGCTGAGACAAAAATTTGTTATGTTACACACTAGTAAGAAAAAGACAATAAATGTCTGTATAGCGCCCTCTTAAGTATTCATAAATGTAATAAAATATTGTAATCTACATATTTTAATACTAAATGTACATTGCAATGGTTGACTATATATATTATCTGCTCATTGTAGCAGATATGGGAGAGTTTTAAATAACATCATACTAAAGCAACAAAATAGTACTTTTGAGTTAACTCTTATCAACTAATTCCAACAGTGTCTCAAATGTAAGCTACAGCATTACGTACCAAAACGTTTTTGTGACTGTGGTCATACCATCTGGAATATGAGGAATTATAACCTTCATGTCATTCCATTCTTCTTCTAGCATAATTTTTTGAGCTTTACAATATCCCATCATCACTACCCATTGTTCCATATACCCCAAATAGACTTCCAATACAATTTTGGTACATTCGTCAAAATGGCTTATCCGTTCTTTGAATATTTTCATACCAATTTCTTTATCAGACCATAATGTTGATTGTATATGACGAACAAAACGTCTTCTGTGCACTACAGCCAGCATTAAACCTTCCTTTAGCTCGAAAGTCAACTAAAAATTATAAATTGTTTTTAAATATATTATTAAGTCAAAGAAAAACAATTAAAATTTATAACACATTAAACGAACAAAAAAATGTACATACAAGTTTGAAATTAAAAATATTATGATGCAATTAAGTTTGTTTATAAATTATTAAAATATGTAATCAATGTATCGTATATGACTAATGGCCTTTTTTGCCGATGTCTTTTTTGATCAATAAAAAAAAAAAAATTATTAAAATGATAAATTGACATAATTTTTTTTTCTTATTCAATCGTTTAATAGTACATGAACTTATGAGCCCAGATAGTTAGTAAAGACATTACTTGTCTGATGCTCATTATTGAAGGTTTTTCTGGTCTAGTGTCAAGTCTCATACGAAGATAAGCATGTATAAGATCCAATGGAATACGAGATAAAAAAATAAATGTAGCTCTATACGAAGGTAAGTTCAATTCCTTTGATTCTTGACTCCAATAACTATAGCGCAATAATTCTTCATCATGAGGTACATCATGTTTAGAATCATCTTCCTAAAATTAATGTTTGATTAATAGATATAAAATTAGTTAATATTTAATTTTAAACTAATATTATTTACCACAGCTGATTCTTCTTTAAGAGTTAAATGTGCTTTACGCAATACATTTTTATATAATTCATCAAGAAATTTTAATGCTTTTCTTAAACCCTTAGTCTTTAATACACCAGCAATAAATTGCCTAAAACATAATTTATAAATTACTAAAATGTATCAATGTATTTACTGATTAATACTTTGTTAAATAGAAAAAACCATATATTATAATTGACAATCGTTTGATGAAATAAATAGTTTTAGAAAATTACTCACCTATAAGTTTGAGAAGCATAGCAAGATGAATTTATTCCTATTGTGTAAGGGAAAAAATGTTGTCTAAGGTGAGCTATAGGCTGGGTGTTATATAAATCGAGATCTTTATATGATATTGGTTCACGATAATTTGCAGTAGATCTTTTGAATTTGAATTCAAAATTTTCTATAATACATTTAAAACAATTTTGTTATCAATAAATATATGTATTTATTTTAAATGTTAATATAAACAATACATTTCTTTCAGATATAAAATAGCTTACCAATACTAGTTCTAGGAGAAGGTGTTAATGAACCTTTACCACTATCATTAGACACACTGAAAACAAAAAAAGAATACAAACCAATTAAAATTAAACATAATTTTAGTAATTGCTAATATATATTGAGTATAGGCTATGAATTGCATTCTTGTACCTGGGGGAGCCTGAACTGCAACTACTGGTTGCCATCAAATGATTTAATGGCTCCAACTCCACTTCCTCTTCTTTCATTAAATGTCTCCCTAAAATTAACAACATCAATCGTTGTCTCTTTGTCATATTGTACCACACACACATTGCCTAGAATAAAAATACAATGTATCATGAATACGTTTATTTTCCAATACTGAAAACTTAAAATTATTTCTGAAGTACATTTTAAACACAAACTATATATTTTTTGTTTTTTTGTTTTTCTAATCAATAAATTTATTTCAGTTTAGGTTTTACATAACAGAATGTAAATTTTAAAGCATTATCTAAAAACAATAAAAAGTAACCTTAAAATAAATAAATTAGTTGAAACTTTTACCTTAACTCTATTAGTAAATTCTGAACTTTTAAATAAAGGATATTGCACTGCAAATGCTCGGCTAGATGGAAATAATGATTCAGCATACTCTAATCGTTCCATAAGTTTTTGTACTTGGCAAAGAGCTAGATTTTGTTGTTCGGTACATTGAGAACAAAATAGTCCAAGACATCCACTGCGACTTGAACATTGACCAACATCTTCATCTATAATATTCATATTTATAAAACCCAATAAATTAACTGTATATTATTTGATATTCTACCTGAACAATTATTTGATTCTTCACAAGTTGGTGATGTTTTTGAACGTAATTTATCAAATCTAAAACTAAAGTTTAATTATTAGATTAAAAGTACATAAATATTTACAAATAACACAAACCTAAAGTTTATGATTTCATCAAGTAAATCGCAAATATTTTTTCTTTCTTCGCACAGATACTTGTCTTGACTCATTATTGTGCGATCAGTTAGTCTGGCACGTAATTCTAACCATATTAAGTCTTTGAGTTCGCTTTGCCATAGTACCTCCTCTTGGCTTAACTGCACACACAATTACAGTTCAAACATTAGTAATAATTGAATAACTAAATAGTATCTAGATACAATTTAATATTAATTTACTTGTCTGTTGAGTTCATATGAACTAGTCACTTTTTCATTATTAGCTAAGCACTTGAGTTTGTTATAGAAAGCGATCCTGTTGACGTCTTCAGACTTTGCCAACTTATCGTTGATGAACTTTCGACATACCACTAGTTTAGAGCCAACACTCCAAAACCGGTTATTTGTTTCGACCTACACAATTTAAAATGTACAAATTACACGCCCCGATTTTTGATTAAAACAACGGTATGAACCCTTTAATATACCTTGAATTTACTAAGCGGTTCATCGTGATTCTCCATTCTGTCTTTGTCCTCAACTACCGAAACTGAGTCCTGGACTTTGCTCTGCTCTCTGACATCGAAAATCGACATTTCGTAATCGAAGTAGAATCCAAACTTTTTGTTCACATCAATACGATTTTTCTGACAAAAAAACGAAAATACCATGTCTTCGATTATATAACTGTACACTAATAATATTTCGGCCGTGTGGTGGCGGCGACGGCGGCAGTGTATTCAAAATTTACGTAACAACAACTATTATGATTATAACTAATGTTTAATGTGCGGTGGCGAGAGTGGAACATTTCTGATTTCCTAACGGAAGTAACGGAGATCTCGTGATGAGGAGGAGAAGGCTTTTTATTTTCTGTTTTTATACTTACTTATCATAGACTATAAGAAACAGGTTTCTCATCGTCGTCAACTCATTAATCTGTGTGTCCGCGCAAGCCACGACATGGGACAAAGTTCATCCAATTTTATCTCTATCAGCCTATCGGCCGCGATAACACGTAACAAACAATTCATTGATCTATTCTATACACCTAACGTTTATGCTTTTTCCTCATCATTTTCTTATTTAAATATTAATTAATAATACGTTATTGTAATTAATTCTCCTCCGCACCTGTCGCGACGGCGCGGCGGCCGGCAGTCGTCAAGTGCTCGATTAGTGTAACGTGACACCGGTATTATCACGGAACATTACAATACGCAGTTATCGTGCATATTATTATGTAAGTTGTTATTATTTTCGAAACGATAATGTTAAGTATATCGATGGACGTTAGACGGATAAACGATATGCCATAAAGAAACAATTTAATTCAATAATAACAGTTTATTAATTATTATTGTATTATAATACAATAATACATAATTAGGTACTATCCCGAATCCGAATTCAACGGTCCGGACAAAAAACGGAGAAAGCCGAACTCCGAAGAGAAAAACAAGTGTCGACAACGTAGTCACAAACTCACAACCAATCACACGACTTTTCGGATGACCAACAGTTCGCGGAAGCGCAGATATCAGATCCAAACGGGTGGAACATCACTAACCGTCGACCGTCGTGTACCGCACTGGCGATGGCGCACTACCGCATAACGACTACTGTAGTACTGAACTGTCTGAACTATCGTAATCTGTAGTGTCGTTAACGCGTGAGCAGTGTGCGCGAATGGCCCACTGGTGAATGTTGTAAGCGTAACTAGTGTCTCTAAAATAAAATAGTGTCTACCGTCTACTGTTCTGTTGTCGCCGTTGTCGGCCGAACTGCCGGCGTGGCGGAGTCGAAACTCTGAGCGTCAGACACTCGGACGGTAACCGATGCGCTGCACTGACAACAGTGGCTGAGTGGCACACCACCCGCCGTCGACCTTAACGAGGCCAATTAAACCCCCCTCAAGTATGATGCTATGATATTATTATTATCGTGTAGTATAAACTACTTACAATATTATTATTGTCGAGTTTTGTCGGTGTACGAAAATACTCACTTAAGGCCTCGGGGGCCTCGTCGCTTCGGCGGAATATCACATGCTTGCGTGCGTGCGTGCGTATGACAGGTGGAGGGGGGTCCTATGTCTCTGTGGTATAATATAATATCATCAAAATAATGATATTATTATGTAGTTGTATGTATACAGGGTGATTCATAAAACATGCTTACCCCCATTTTTTCCCTTCAATATTGAATTTATTCAAAGTTTTATTTTTTGACATTTTTAAGGGGATTTTCATAAGAACCATAGGTATTACGTTCAGTTATTTAGATTTCTTATGCAATTTAAGGAGTGTCCCGTAGTGTAAATACTTACATATTAAAAAAAAAAATAATCACCTTTTTTCCTCTAAATTGTTTAGCAGATAACTCTTTTGAACATTTTGATGTAGGTATATAACGTGTGGCTTATTACATAGTAAGGATTATAACCTTGGTTTATGATAATAGGTTCAGAAAAGAATATGGGAGCTATGATTTCACAGTTAATATAGTAATTAATAATCAATGTTTTATAATTTATAAAAAGTGTCTATATAATAATAAATACTATAGATAAACATGAAATATTGAAATCTACCTATATTTTATATTTTTGTAAAACTATATATCTAAACATATTATCCTTAGAAGTTAGAATACATCCCAATAACTCTGAAACTACCAACCTATTAGTTCAAATCGATATTCAAATTGTGATTTATACCTTGGTTATTATTTGAAAAAACTAATTTGCATAGCCATAGGACACTCCATAAAAGGTATAAAAATCAGAATTAGAATACATTTATTATTAAAGAAAAAATGGGGAAGAGTCGTAGAGCATAATAATGATGATGCTTTGTAGTTTGTGAATCATCTCGTATATGCATATCGCAAATGCCGGTGTGTATATAATGTATAATATATACCAAAACCAAACATATGATGCGGTATTGACTATCTACATTCTACACTACACCACTATATGCATATAATAGGACTTGAAACACCCATGTATCTAGTGTTTTATCTTTCATATATCCGTCTTAGCTTCAAGATTTTAGATCAATTCATATATGCTTAATATCCATGATATATTGTAGGCATATCAATTTATACATAGACCCATATAATATATTATAAGCTATAGGATCAGCTTAAGAAGTTCCTACTTGTGACATTATTGATTAACCGTTTATAATATATATCAATTTTTTACGTTAAAGATTCTGAGGAAGTCGATAAATGTATTGATTTTACAATCATGTGTTTTTTTTGTCTGTTGTCATTTTTTGGGACACTAAAAATTCTTTGATTTTCTTCAACAGCATCTTTTCTGGTAGCCGGTAGGAAAGTGAATTTAGTTGTTATACGTAGGAGGTTAAGAGTAAAAAATTCCCAATAGTTTTCAAAAGCATCAGGAAAAACAAACAAACAACTAAGAATAAACTGAGATTTTTAGGCAAAAGCAATTTAAAAAAAAATCTATTTGATTGTTTTAGTGTAACTCAAAAAAAAAAAACCCGTGGTACAGATACATGACATTTTCACCGAATGTTTATATTAGAAATTCCTATGCACCACAACATTTTTGAAATATTTATTTTGTACTGTATAAACATAAGACAAATTCTAGTATTATTAGTTTTTTTCAAAAATTATTGTAAGAATATTATTCATGGGTACTTGAGATTTTTAGAGTACATTAATACCAGAGACAGAAACACATTTTATTAAATTAAAGCGAGCGGCTCACTATGTGAGTTGCCAATAGACATGACGTACCTATCAATGTATAAATACATATAGGGACAGAGTGAAGTTAATAACAATTACACACAATGGTATTTTCAAGTATAATATTTTCTTGCAAAAATGTATTTAACTCGCTGCAGTACTAACGCCTAATAGTAAAATGAGTTACTTTAATCACAGTAGTATGATACTAACCTAACCTACTGACAGAGCGTATTCGCTCAGACAGAAACGTTTTTCGTGTAGTTACAATGATTATTCAATTCAATTTAAAAACATCCATTACAGTGACTCTCTGACACCTAATGTACAGCAGAGTGTTACTCACTTACAACTTACTTGATTTTTTAAAAATTATATATTTAATGACACATAAATACATAGTATATGAATTTACTTTGATAACCTGCACCAAAATTTTTCTAAAAACGTTGATGTTTATATTAATTTAATGTTTTTCATTTATAAGCATTTAAAGATTTAAAGTTTTAAGTCTAAATTACCGAATTTTTAGTCCATTATTATATCGTGCATATTATTATACAACTCATACTAGATTTTTTGAACAATTAAAAAGTATTATACACTTTGATAATATCAACAATTTTTGAAAAAGTTATTCACACGAGACTACAATATTATTTGAACAGCGCAGATGTTATCCCAAAGTTTCATTTTGGGTTTAGATCCCACCACTCAACCGTACAACTAGTTCGCATAACGGAACATATCAGCACTTCCTTTGAAAAGCATTGCCATACTGGTGCTGTATTTTATAGATGTCTCAAAAGCATTTGATGAAGTATGGGACGAAGGTCTTTTATACAAACTAAAATATTTCAATACACCGAAGTACTTATTCAATATTATCAACTCCTTTCTAACAAGTAGACAATTCTCAGTTAAAATAAACGACAATTTCTCTGACCCCCGGTCTATCTCTGCTGGTGTACCTCAACTCTCAAGGGTCCAAACTGGGACCTATATTGTTCAATATATTCATATCTCATATATCGCAGTCACCACGCACAAACATCGCCCTATTCGCAGACGATACAACTATTTACAGTGAATCCCGTAACGTATAAGTGTTAATTAACACCTTACAAGATCACTTAAATTTACTAGCAAAATGGTGCTAAAGCTGTAAAATACAAATAAACGCTTCAAAAAGCACTGCAGTCATATTTAGCTTACGTCGCTACTCTACTCCACCACCTCTAAGATTCGGCAACGATTCCATACCTTGGCAGCCTTCTGTCAAGTACCTAGGTGTCACGCTAGACAAGAGGTTAACCTGGAGGCCTCACATAGCTTCTAAACTTCAACAAGTATACCAGCGCCTCTCAATGCTATTTCCTATCCTAAACAAAAAATCAGTTATACAAAAAAAATGCTTATCATTAATTTGCAAGCAATTATTACGCCCACGAATTACCTACGCCTGCCCTATCTGGGGTAACTGTTCAGCGACACACTTAAGGAAAGTACAAAGTTTTCAAAACAAAATATTAAGAATAATAACAAACGCACCATGGTTCATACGCAACGAAAATCTACATAAAGATCTCCGAATCATTAAAATTCAAGATCATATAAGTGCCCTTGCTACAAATTTCCATAGTTCACTCTAAAAATCAACTGGCTCACTACACTTCAATTTACACATATGTCCACCACCTCAAAGACATCTAAAACGCGCCCTTATTCATTAACTATTATTAAGTAAATACTAAATTAGAATGTAAAAATGTAATTTTATTCTTCATCCACACTATTGTTATTGTCTATATGTCTGATCAACCTTAAAATATTAGTAATATTACTATTGTTATTATCGCTATTATTATTACTCATAATTATTATCATGTTAAAATAGTCAAAAATTAATGTTACTAATTATCCATAGATGTAGATAGCCTATATAAACTAGGAATGTCTTATTATATTAATAAAAAAAAAAATACACTTTGATGTTGACATTGTACTTACTACTTATAACTTATGCATATTTTGTTTTACAAAAATCTACCGATAATATTAGTGTTTTTCATTCTCATAAATGAGTTGTACATTTTTCATAAGGTCTTCGATAATTTTTTTTTAATTTATACCTAATATAATTTTTATTTTTTTTAGTGTGCAATTACCTCTGTCGCATACTTAACGTTATAAAGTAGTATTCTATAGTATTATACAGTATAATAATTACAGTTATTAATGTACATTATACTCGTAAAACATACTATATTATAGTATAAGTGTACCTACACCGTAGTTGACCGTACACATACAAGTATAAAATGCACATTATTGTCGGATTTTTATTCTGTAAGTACTTACGAACTACGTTCGAAAATTTGGCAGTTTGGATAGGACCGGTCGGCGTTACAACAATATTATCATATACAAATATCTACAACAATTTATCAGTAGATATATATATATATATATATATAGTGTATAATAGTGTATAGTAATATATCATAATAATGTCTTGTGAATTATTAGAGGTACACGTGTGTAAATTATAAAAATACCACGTCATGTTTATGTTACGTATATTTTGTCTGCTGAACTTAGTATACATAGTAATTAGCAGGGCTCGGGACTTTATGCATTTGCATATTTGTTCGGGAAGTAAATAGAATAAAACTGATCCGATACAAATTTGTGTTGTGGTATTTAGAGTTAAAGTTTAAAAGTTTATTGTGCATATGTTTGCATATTTTGGAATTTTTTTCTACAAATGCATATTTTTAATATTTATTGATTTTTATTGCATATTTTAAAATAACTTTTGATTATTTACTCTTAAATCATAATGTATTGAAGAAAAATGTTGGTCTTGCTATGCTAAAGAAAATTAAAAACATTCTTAACGGTGAATTAATTGACATGAAAGACTTACCAGAAGACTTAGATATTAATGATCTGACATATTTTAAATATGCTCCCATCACATCGGTAAACGTAGAAAGATCATTTTCCGCCTATAAAACTTTACTTACAAATAATAGAAGGTCTTTCAAAGTCGAGAACATAAAAAAACATTTGATAATCCAGTGTAACGCAAGTAAGTACATAATTAGAATTATAAAATGATTATTTTTTAATACATAAAAATTATAATTGCTAGGTATAGAAGATGCTGAGTGTTGAAAAATCCAAAGACCTCCCATTCAACAGTTTTTACATTTTTTTTTTTAGTAATATAGTATGTATAAAATATACATTTTTAGTAATATGTACAAGAAATGTTTTTTTTAAAATTAAATTTGAATAATTATGTATTTTTTAATTAAAAATAAATGCATATTAAAGCGCATATTTTGATATTTTTTGGTGCATATGTATGCGCATATTTTTAAGATTTTAAGCACATAAAGTCCCGAGCCCTGGTAATTAGTAAGTACTAGGTAGGTACCTTGTACCTATACTATAACATATCGGGGATTTCCTGTTGCGAAGTCGTAAATCATAATACATCAAAATATGTAATACCTCTGTACGACTATTGTAATGTTATATGTATTGATATGTTTTAATAATGTTACTATAATACACTGAGCAAGTAAATAGTACAATGTTATTAAATAAATTATATTTCGTACTGGTGCAATAGATGATGATAAATAACAATCTACCCGGTGGCCGGTGCACAATAAATAATATTATATAAGTACCGAGTCGAATTGAAAAAAAAGTTGTCGGGAGACGCAAATACTTTCTATTAAAATATATTAAGTAAATAAATTCGAATCGTATCAATATTAGGTAGCTATAGATTAATTCAGACAACATACGTGGCCTACCTATATTATTATGTACCTACCTATATTATATACTGTTCACACACCACGTATAGTACATTGTTTCTATGTTATTTTTATAATATGTGACCTTTGATATTTTGTAATTCATTGGAAAAATATTACCGAAAAAAGTATAATATTTTAACCAATTAGCCATATTGAAAAATTGTATACTTTGAAATATAAAGTATATAATACATTTTATTAATCAATTTGTTTAAAAATTTCACACTTTTCGTTAAATTGTGAAACGTAAATTGTTAATCAGATGACTTTTTTCAAATTGTATATTATATAAATCAAAATTCGAATGAGTATTTCTTGTTATTTAACTTTGTGTGCTATAGATAAATAAGCCCATGATAATACGTTTTTAAGATAGGTAGGGGCTACGATGATTTGAAAATTATATAGTAATTACTAATTAATATTAATCTACTAACACTTTATAATTTTTAATAATTGTCTGATAGTATAATATAAGTACTTACTAGATTAAATATTTAACGTTATATATATTTTATACTTCTATAAAACCATTTTCAAGGAGTATATTGTATCCTTATAGTGTATATAATATACATTTTAATAACTCAAAAAATACTCGTTTGAATTTCGATTTAGAGACACCCATGGTAATGACTACTTAACAATTCTTATAAATAAATCCCGTTGTACTATATGTCTATATGTCTAATGACATATTATTTCTGGTGTGATTATGCGTGATTATGCGTGTATAGTATTGAATAGCTTGTGAACAATTCATCAATATCGATCATAAATATGTAATCAATAAATTTGATTTTAAGTCTCTAACAGTTTTAAGTATATGTTGATAAAAACCTTAACATTTTTTAATTGATTTAAGAATACTAATTTTTGTTATACTAGTATAACTTATTAGTTATTACTAATATTTCATTCGATTATTATTAGTGGTAGTGATTGGTAAGCTTTCGATTGAAATTATGTTACACATTAATAATTAATTTGATTAGATAGTTATTAATAATTAATTTGATTATTAATGTTTAAATTTTAGGGTGTGGGTGGATGAATTTGTTATTTGAAAAAAATTATCTTGGCATCACTGCAGGTGATTCTAAGACATATTATATATTGCCTATCATTTGCGATAAGGTACAAGTTCGTTTTGAATTAGCCATTATATGCCAATTGCCCACCTCGTGACTCATACGAGTCATACCAACATATATACCTACATATCGATATAGTTATGATTCAATAGAAGTATTTTTATTTTATTTTTGTTTTCATAAACTATAGATTAAGTATATATTATATTAAGAATGTTTTAGTTTAGAACTTCAACGATGCCAGCTTGATCCCTATAGAGTATAGATTATATACTTATAAAAATAAATAAAAATAAATTTGTATCATAATATGTCACATATTTAGGCATATTTATGACTTTATGTAGTTTTTTTTTTGGCTCTTTTGCACATTTTCTTTCAACAATATTAAAAAATTGACAAATAGTCCTTGTAATATATGATACGATTTAATTGTCTGAAAGTTTCCTCTCACTACCGTTGTGGCGGCGAATCGTTTAAGTATTTTAGTGTTTTGTCTTACTACTTAATTGTCCGTGCCATATATTTAATGTAGTTCTTACAACAGATATACTACTTATTTTATTTATTTTAAATATTCGTGAATTAAGCCACTAGAAAAATAAATTAATGTAATTTTACAGCATATTTTAGTTTTTAAGTGTATAAAACGTGTTTGCATATATTATTGTGTTCTATTTTAGGGCTTTATAATAATTAATGATTATGTCCTCTGCTATATATAGAACCTATTTAATTTATAAGTTATTTATGTTCATAATAAATAGTATTTTTTTAAATAAATTATAGTCAATATACATATAATTATAGACTTTTGCCTTTTAGATAATATGCCATTTCTTATGTACACACAACACACTACACAGTATACATTATACAAATGTACAATTATTACATTATACAATTATATATTGTTCTAGACGATTGTTATTTGTTATTTTACTTATTACCAGATAATCTTAAACACATAGTAATAATATGACAAACTGAAGTAAATTTTATATTTTACCACCCAACCATCTCTTATGATCCTATTAATTATTATACTATACGGATTGACACTATTCAACTATCGAATCTAACCATCTATTAAATTGCCCATGGGCCATGAGTCTGGTGGCGGGTCGTAGGTAACCGTGCAACCAATTTGCGTCCCAAATCATCATAGCCCACATGCTCCCAGTTCAGATCAGGTGAAAATCGTGCAACGTTGTCATTTATTGAGTATATTGGTGTGTAAATATAAAATCTAAAATAATATTTGATCGTTTTCCATGCTAATCTAAAACTTTGTTTAGTTTTTCGTTATTTTAAATATCACTTGATTAGAAATCTTATTTCTGGAGATATAAGTTGGCGTTGTGTAAAAAAAACCTGTAGTGCATATGTCAAAACCAATAATTCAAAAACGAAGTTAACCGAAATTAAAGACAGTCATACCCATGATCCGGAAAATTAAGAAAGTTTAAGCTTACTTAATTTTTGTATTATTGACATTCTTATTATTGACTAATGTGTATTACAAATGTCAATATGTCAATATGTGTAGTATTATAATTGTATTTATTAATTATTTTGATTTTACTTAAATATTTAACTATTTGAAATTGATAATTTAATGCAATATAAATAATACTTAGATAATATGTATACTAGGTAGTATTTTTATTATTTTTAAAATGATTAATTTTAATGATTATTAATTTGGATTTTACGTACAATTTTACTTTTTTAAACGATCTTAAAGATAACTGACGGCAATGTTGCATGCAAAATGGGCGCATCTGGGCTATAAATCCAGGGTGTTAAGTTTTTTACTTCGGGCGCAAATGTCCATAACCCTCGGGGGGGGGGGGGGGGAAATGAGCTACTCTAGTGAGCAAATTGGCTACAGCCGTAGGTAAAACCTACTTTCGGAACATCTGCGGTTCATTAGCTTATATTATAATTGATTAGTTATTTATTTTCAAGCATTGTATTGAGTTCTAAGAAATTGTATATTAATAATTCGATTGTTCAATAAAAAAATGAATTTATAACCTAACTTAAATGTGATAATTGTTATAATATGTTCAAATGTCTTCGATATGATTGACGTCCAGAAAATCGAATCTTTCCCCCACGTGTTAATATTATAATATGCAGTCTTAAAACAAAGTACCTAATAATAATATTTTATAGGTGTTATTAAGTTCAATAAATAGTTAACAGTTATTATACCTAAAATTGTTTAATTAGCTACTTAATGAAATAACCTATAATATTTTTAAAACTTATATATTATATAATATACCATTTTATGTATAATAATCACCTGATTAAAGTCCTAATGCATCATGTCTAATAACGAATTCACACGATCAACGTAATAATTAAAATGATATAAACAGAACAAAAAAATACAAAAAAAAATGTGTAGGATTATCTTACGTATACTAGCGTAAGAACATGAATGTACTCAATGCAAATGGTTTTTGTATACTGCCTATAGTGCTTACTATTTAACACGTTGAACGATCTGTAGCACAATAATAATAATGAGTATGTACTATACAAATTTATTATTCTTACTCTGTTTAATAATGTGTAGGTATTATACATTAGTGCGCAAACGCATAGGTACCTACAGATTGTAAATACACAGGTGTTAACAGATAAGATTATTTTATAATAAGTAGCATACGATAAACCTATATAGCAAATATAAACTTCAATAGCTTTTACTATTTACATGACGCATTTAAATAAATAGTATAATTATGTGTGTGTTCAAGAAAATCCACTTGTTTATTTAAGGAAAAATACATTAAAATAATCCTTGGTTCTCTATGTGTATACTATATGTACTGTATGTTGTATACAGGGTGATTCACGAATATTTTCTGTTTTTTTTTTAATTTTTAAGAAATAGGCGGGAGTGAGTTGTGTGTTATAAATGTATGTACATAAATCATGACCACATAGCCTCACTGCATTGAATCGGAAGTAAAATAATGGTCGATCCCGACCTTTACATATATAACGTTAATATAATATGTAATCAAACAAATGAACATAGTATATTGTACGTTTATCTCTAATTTCTTGTATATTAAGTTGGCTTTACTTATATCAAGAAATTTGTGTATTGTCAATGCACTAATCATAAAATAAAATAAAATAATATTATATTATTTTTGTCTACTGAATTTTTATATAAAATTGGACATTTTTAATCTATTGATAACTATTTGATAAATAATAAAACAGACAATTAATGTTTAGTTTCCCATAATATAAAAGTATTAAAATACATGGTTTCAT